GACTTTTCTTGGGGTTGATGTCGAGGTCGCGCGCGCCGAACTTATGGCTTTGAAGGTCAGCGGCTCGCGTCTGAAGTCAGATGTGCACTTTTTCCTGAACAACAACGTCGTTCTTGTCGACAAAGAGGCAAGCAACCAGCGCACGGGTGAGTTCTTTATCAACCACATTCACAAGTTTGCGCGTATTGTGGACGAGTGCGCTGTCGCTCAGTAAGTATCGTGTAAATCTGGTGCTGAAGTGGCGGCGCATTGAGTCGCAACGGAAAAATGGTCACTCTAGCATCCCCCAGATACTCAAGTGGTCACATGGTGGAGAGTAGAAGAGGCAGTTGGCAGGACTGCAAGGGACGGAAGATAGCATGTCGTATGATGGATAGAGGTCAACGGTGTTGAAAAGACAGCGGCTGTGAAGAAGACACCTCGTCAAGCTGCGTCAAGTGTTGAAGCAAGTGGAAGACCAAGCTTCGCTATACCGGTGGGTACCGGTATGTACCAGTAAGGGCGAAGTCAGGAAATGACGTCACTGGATGACGTCACTGCGAATAATAGGCTTAGAGGTAGTATTCAAAGTTGCGAACTAAGTACCTATTATAAATATATATTCACTTTGCGTTTTGCACTCGGACCAAGAAGTCTAAAGTTCATCAGGTTATGAGCCCAAGTTCGTCAGACTCTGAAACCGCCAACAATTCAAGCTTAGCTGCCATGGACGCCTCCTCCCTCCGCATCTCCAAGTTCGATGGAACTAACTTCCACGCCTGGAAGTTCAAGATGCAGATGGTGCTGGAGGAACGGGACCTATGGGAGGTCGTCAGCGGTGAGATCAAGGCGGAACAGTGCGAGACTCAGTTGGACCAAGCGACGTACAAGAGGAAGTCAAGAAAGGCGATGGCAGTGATCTGTCTAGCCATGGAAGATTCCCAGCTACCGTTGGTCCGGTCGGCAAGTGGTGCATGCGACGCATGGTCAAGGTTGGAAGACCACTTCGAGAAGAAGAGTCTTGCCAACAAGCTGTTCTTGCGCCGTCGCTTCTTCACGACAATGATGGAAGAAGGCGACGATGTGCTCGAACACATCAACAAGCTCAAGACGCTGGCGGAACAGCTAGAAGCGGTGGGGGCTCCAGTCTGCGAGGACGATCTGGTGATCACACTCCTCGGCAGCCTGAGTGACTCGTATCAATTCTTGATCACAGCTTTGGAGTCGCGCTCAGACACTCTTAGCTGGGAGCTCGTGACGTCTCGACTGCTTCATGAAGAAATGAAGCGGAAGGAGCAAGGAAGTAAAGGTGATGAAGCTTCGCAAGGTCAAGCGTTCATCACAAGGGACAATCAGTGCAAAGGGCGACCAGTGAAGAAGTCCTGGCCGTGCCACAATTGCGGAAAGATTGGTCACTGGATGGCGGAGTGCCCCTCGCGCATCCAAGAAAACACGGAGAGACACCGGCCACAGCGTGCTCAAGACAGCGGCGACCGCTATCGATCACAACGTGCAAACGTCGCTCAAGAAGAAGACTCGGGCGACTACCTCTTTTCGATCGGTGAAACGACATCTGCGAAATCGAGCGACATCTGGCTGGTCGACTCCGGGGCGACGCAGCACATGACGTGCTCCAAGAAGTTCATGCGGAACTACAAGGGGTTTGACGCTGTGGATGTCCATCTCGCGGATGATGGAATCGTCCAAGCAATCGGCAGTGGGGACATTGTCATGTCGATGAAGACACCCCAAGGGATGAAGAAAGGTGTGCTCACAAACGTGTGGCACATCCCAAAGTTATCCAGAAACCTGTTCTCGGTCGGCCGCTTCACCAAGGATGTCGGCCCAGTGACGTTCACGAAGGACGGGTGCTATGGAGAAGCGAAAGGGACCAAGTGGAAAATTGGTGCCCGTGAAGGTAAAGGACTGTTCAAGCTGCAAATGACTCCAGTGGCGCCGGAACAAGCAAATGCAGCCAAGTCGTCGGGATGTCAAGGGGGCACCAAGTCGTACCTCTGGCACCTTCGGCTTGGCCACATAGGTCACGATGGACTCAATTGCATCGTGACGAAGAACATTGGAATTGGCATCGACATATCTTCGGTGAAGAAGTGGGACGTGTGTGAAGGTTGTGCTCTGGGAAAACAGACTCGAGTGCGCTTCCAATCAAACACTACAGCTCGCACCTCCAAACTCCTCGAAGTGATTCACAGCGACGTATGCGGACCGATGTCGATGGCAACTTTCAGTGGAAAACGGTACTTCGTGACATTCATTGATGACAAGTCAAGATACTGTGTCGTCTATCTGCTCAAGAGCAAATCTGAAGTTGCGGCGAAGTTCATGGAATACGCTGCGATGGCCGAAACGCAAACCGGAAAGCGCGTGAAGTACCTTCAAAGCGACAATGGGGGTGAATACAAGTCCGACAAGCTGGCACGATTCTGCGCGGAACGGGGAATACAACAAAGGTTCACACCCCCATATACTCCTCAGCTAAACGGAGTAGCTGAGAGAATGAATCGCACGCTGGTCGAGTGTGCGCGTTGCATGATGGAACACGCTGGACTGGGAAAGAGCTACTGGGGTGAAGCAGTGATGACGGCGATGTTTCTTCGAAACCGCTGTCCAACACGTGCCATTCACCAAGACAAGTCTCCATATCAAGTGTGGACGATGAAGAAACCGATTCTGGCCAACCTTAAAGTGTTTGGATGCCACGCGTATGTTCAAGTGCCTCAAGACAAACGCGCGAAGTTCGACTCCAAGTCATCACTCTGTCGTTTCCTGGGATACGCCGAACACCAGAAGTCATATCGATTTGAGGAAGTGTCAACAGGAGCGATCAAGATCAGTCGCGATGCCACATTCATGGAAGAAAAGTTTGATGAAGGTCCGCGCAACTACAACGATGAGTCAAGTGTCGTTGAGTTTGATGATCATGATGAGGACGAAGAAAAAGAAGAAGGTAAAACTGACGACGACATGGACTCGAGCGACGATGACAACGAAGACACCAGGTCTTCGAAGAGCAACATCAAGAGACACACGCGCACTCAATCACTTGAGAAAGCTACCGTCATTCCAAGTCCCAAGCGAAGAACATACAGAGGTCCGTCGCTTGAGCATGTGTCAGCGGCTGCAATGGATTTTGAAGCAGCCTACATCGTTGATTCAGTGGGGAAACGCCGACTACATTCAAGTCGGCGATGGAATCAAGCGACTCCGGCAAGTGGAAAGAAGCGTGTGACTTGGAGTTTGATTCGCTTCAGAGAAACGACACGTGGGAAATCGTGCCTCTTCCGAAAGGTCGCAAGGCCATCGGGTGCCGATGGGTTTTTCGTGTAAAGGATAATCAAGATGGCGAAGTTGAACGTTTCAAGGCAAGACTTGTGGCCAAAGGATTCTCACAGAAATTCGGAGTTGACTATGAAGAAACTTTCGCACCGGTGGCCAAGTTCACATCGATTCGTGTGGTGCTCAGTATGGCGGCTAAGTACGGCCTAATGCTACATCAGATGGACGTCAAGACAGCGTTTCTTAACGGCTCCCTCAACGAAGACATCTACATGGACCAGCCGGACGGATACCTGGATGCAACACAGCCGGACTATGTGTGCAAGCTAAAGAGATCACTCTACGGCTTGAAGCAATCGCCTCGCATGTGGAACCAAACAATCGATGGGTTCATGATCAAGATGGGATTCAAGAAGTGCGAATCGGACCACTGCATCTACATCAAGCGAGACGACCAAGACATGATTCTCGTGGTGCTCTACGTCGATGATCTCATCCTGGCCAGCAGCAACAACGAACTCCTCAAGTCAACCAAGATGGCGCTGAGCAAACGCTTCGAAATGACGGATCTCGGTGAGCTCGATTACTTTCTCGGCATGGAGATCAAGAACGACCGTAAGACGGGAATGGTGACTGTACAACAAACCAAGTTTCTCAAGTCCGTGTTAACCAAGTTCGGAATGGATAACAGCAAGCCAGTGAAGACGCCTCAAGATCCCGGCCTGAAGCTAACCAAGAACATGTGTGAACAAGAATGCAAGCACGAAGACACCATGTGCAACGTGCCATATCGAAGTGCTGTCGGAGGCATCATGTATCTCATGGTCGCCACACGTCCGGATCTAGCTGCTGCAGTGGGATCATTATCCCAGTTCTCGTCCGACCCATGCCCGACTCACTGGCAAGCTTTGAAGCGTGTGCTGAGATACCTGCAAGCAACGCCCAATCATGGTCTTGAGTTTACACGTGAAGAAGGAAGCCGTATCTGCGGGTACACCGACGCAGACTGGGCCGGCGACATTGAGTCAAGACGAAGTACAAGCGGCTATGTGTTCATGATGAGCGGAGGATGCATCAGCTGGAAAAGCCAGAAACAACGGACGGTCGCGCTATCTTCAACAGAAGCAGAATACATGGCGCTTTCCGAAGCAACCAAAGAAGCAGTATGGCTCAAAGTGCTTTTGGGGGAACTTGGTGAGATGACAAGCGACGAAGCGATCAAGATGTATGAAGACAACCAAGGATCAATCGCTCTCGCCAAGAACCCGGAGTTCCATAAGAGAACAAAACACATCGACATACGCTACCATTTTGTGCGTGAGAAGGTGGAATCAGGTGAAGTCGTTTTGGAGTATTGCCCGACTCAAGATATGCTGGCAGACATGATGACCAAGCCGATCGCCGCTGTACAATTTGAAAACATTCGCGATCGACTTGGGATCCAAGGTGCCGCAGCTAACGAGTCGAGAGGGAGTGTTGAAAAGACAGCGGCTGTGAAGAAGACACCTCGTCAAGCTGCGTCAAGTGTTGAAGCAAGTGGAAGACCAAGCTTCGCTATACCGGTGGGTACCGGTATGTACCAGTAAGGGCGAAGTCAGGAAATGACGTCACTGGATGACGTCATGCAATGACGTCAGTGGGTGACGTCAGTGGGTGACGTCACTGGATGACGTCACTGCGAATAATAGGCTTAGAGGTAGTATTGAAAGTTGCGAACTAAGTACCTATAATAAATATATATTCACTTTGCGTTTTGCACTCGGACCAAGAAGTCTAAAGTTCATCAGTTCCCACACCCTTGATGGCCACCTTGTTGCCATCAGCCACCAAAGTTCGCCCTCATTGCGCTCTGCCAAACTTGAGAACTTGGTCTTGTCGTGGCAAATGTGGTGCGTTGCACCACTGTCGACGGCCCACATTCCAGACACGTCCTTGCTCGTCGAAACTCCACATTCGAACGAGACTGCAAACGCCACTCGATCGTAGCCATTGCCTTCATCATGATGTCCCCACTGGACATTGTTAGCCCCGCGTCCACGACCATTGCCGCCGCGTCGGGCTCCCCGACCTTCGTTCTTCTGCTTTGTCCAGCAACGATCCACCGTGTGTCCCACCTTGCCACAATACGTGCATTGGTAGGGCTCACGCTCGGCGCTGAATGCCTTGCTTGCATCTTCAGCCTTCACCGTAGTCGCTGTCGTTGTCCCTTTTTCTCCTTGACGCTTGGCATGCTCATTCGTCAGGACTCTCACCACATCTTGAGTGCGAAGCTCGGTGCTGCTCATTTCCATGTTGAGCACCACATTTTCGTAGCTCTTCGGAAGACTGAGTAGCAGACAAATTGCAACGTCTTCGTCTTCCATCTTCGCACCGATGCCGCTAAGCTTGGCGGAGATGTTGAGGACCTCGTTGCAATGATGCATGACGTTCGCGCCTTCAGCCATCTTGATACTGAAAAGTTGTCGCTTGAGGTAGATGCGTCCTGCCTTCTGCGACCCACCGTACAGCGTCTTCAGACTTGTCCACGCAACCCAGGCTTCCTCGCAGTTGTCCAGCACATGATGGTAGTCCGCGTTCATGTGCAGCAGCATCATACCAAACGCGACGTTGCTTGCCTTGACGTAGTCATCGGACGCTCGCGGGTCGGTGAAAGTCGGAGTCACTTCACGGTTGACAACGTGCCAGACGGACTTCGTCAAAAACACACCGCGCATGTACCGGCTCCACGTTGCGTAATTGTCTCCGTTGAACTTGTCAATGGAGGCGTTGCTGGTGGACGACATGGCATTTGGGCTCATAACCTGTTGCATTGTAGATCGGAGCGAGGAAAGCGGAGCAAACGGAGCGGAGAGACCGAAGAGAGTAGAGCAGAAAACACTTGCCCAATAGTTGGAAGATTCGAAAGTGATTGATTATCGGGGCTTACTACTTACTACATGATTTATATGTGGTGTACATATAAATCATGTGAAGCGTCTCATCATCCTACGCGTCTAATCAACTATGGTAATTACCGTAAGAACTACGTCGTAAATACTAAGCTGAACAGGCGGTTCGGATTGGATCGGTCACGGTTACCAATACTGGTAGAAAACCGATGACCGTCAACATGACCACCGGCGAAAACGTCTCCGTGTAGTCGATGCCATATTTCTGCTTGAACCCTTTTGCCACGAGACGCGCCTTGCATTTCTCGATGGATCCATCAGCTTTCCTTTTTTATCTTGAATACCCAGGGTTGATGCCAATGGTATGCTGTCCATCTGGCAGTTTGGTCGCTCAAAACACGCCACGAAGTTTCATCGAGTCCAGCTCGGCACAGATTGCTTTACGCCAATGCACTTGATCTGGTCCACCAACAGCATCTTCAAACGTTGTCGGCTCGGAAATGTCAGTAAATTCGACTGTGTTGGCACTCGCTCTCCAAAAGACTTGAGGTGTAGCATCCTCGTTATTGTTGACGGTCATCGGTTTTCTACCAGTATTGGTAACCGTGACCGATCCAATCCGAACCGCCTGTTCAGCTTAGTATTTACGACGTAGTTCTTACGGTAATTACCATAGTTGATTAGACGCGTAGGATGATGAGACGCTTCACATGATTTACATGTAGACCACATATAAATCATGTAGTAAGTAGTAAGCCCCGATAATCAATCACTTTCGAATCTTCCAACTATTGGGCAAGTGTTTTCTGCTCTACTCTCTTCGGTCTCTCCGCTCCGTTTGCTCCGCTTTCCTCGCTCCGATCTACAATGCAACAGGTTATGAGCCCAAATGCCATGTCGTCCACCAGCAACGCCTCCATTGACAAGTTCAACGGAGACAATTACGCAACGTGGAGCCGGTACATGCGCGGTGTGTTTTTGACGAAGTCCGTCTGGCACGTTGTCAACCGTGAAGTGACTCCGACTTTCACCGACCCGCGAGCGTCCGATGACTACGTCAAGGCAAGCAACGTCGCGTTTGGTATGATGCTGCTGCACATGAACGCGGACTACCATCATGTGCTGGACAACTGCGAGGAAGCCTGGGTTGCGTGGACAAGTCTGAAGACGCTGTACGGTGGGTCGCAGAAGGCAGGACGCATCTACCTCAAGCGACAACTTTTCAGTATCAAGATGGCTGAAGGCGCGAACGTCATGCATCATTGCAACGAGGTCCTCAGCATCTCCGCCAAGCTTAGCGGCATCGGTGCGAAGATGGAAGACGAAGATGTTGCATTGTAGATCGGAGCGAGGAAAGCGGAGCAAACGGAGCGTAGAGACCGAAGAGAGTAGAGCAGAAAACACTTGCCCAATAGTTGGAAGATTCGAAAGTGATTGATTATCGGGGCTTACTACTTACTACATGATTTATATGTGGTGTACATATAAATCATGTGAAGCGTCTCATCATCCTACGCGTCTAATCAACTATGGTAATTACCGTAAGAAGTACGTCGTAAATACTAAGCTGAACAGGCGGTTCGGATTGGATCGGTCACGGTTACCAATACTGGTAGAAAACCGATGACCGTCAACACGCCCCCTCAATCCGAATGCTCACGAATCCCGAGAGCCGTCGTCATCTCCTTGTGGCGTGGTCCATGAAGTCCCTTCGTCATGATGTCCGCTAACATCACCGCAGTTTCACAGTACTTGAGCTTCACTTCACCGCGCTTGACCTCATCACGGATGTGATGGTACTTGATATCAATGTGCTTGGCACGGCCGTGGTTGACTGGGTTCTTCGTCATCTTGATACACGACTGATTGTCTTCATGGATCATGAGTTCCGGTCCTTCTTCATTGGCAGCCATCACGATCTCACAAAGCAGACGATGAATCCACTTGCCCTCTTGAATTGCCAAGCTGAGTGCGATGTATTCGGCTTCACTCGTGGACAACGAAACACTTGGCTGCTTCTTGCTGCCCCAACTGACTGGCGCACCGAGTAGCATGAACGTGTACCCCGATGTTGACTTGCGGTCGGTAAGATCACCAGCCCAATCCGCATCCGAATATCCACGGAAGTCGATCCTTGCACTTGGCTTGTAGCAAATTCCATGCGTCTTGGTGCCTTGTAGGTAGCGAAAGATACGCTTAACTGCAACCCAGTGTTCTTCTTGGGGATTTTCCATGAACCGCGACACATAGCCCACAGCAAACGCAATGTCCGGACGCGTTGCAGTGGTCAGGTGCATCAACGCACCAACAGCTTCGCGAAAAGGAGCATCGACCTTGGTAGTTGCATCACTTGAAACAAGTCGAGAGCTCATGTCGACTGGACTTGCGACTGCCTTGCAATCATCCATGCCAAAGCGCTTGAGGATATCATCGACATACCGACGCTGACATAGTGTCACACTGCCATCTTCACCGTCCAAAAGCTCGATCCCAAGAACAAACGCACACTTGCCGCTGTCCGTCATTTCGAACCGCGTCTTCAGGTCGTTCTTGGTTTGTGCAATCAGCTCGAGTGAGCTTCCAGTCACCAAGACGTCGTCCACGTAGACCAGTATAAACACGCAATGGCCGTCCGAAGTCTTGATGTAGAGACATGGGTCGAAGTCCGATACTTGAAATCCGATGGAGCACACATACTCGTCGAACGTCTCGTTCCACACTCGCGACGCTTGCTTGAGGCCGTAAATTGACTTCACCAATTCCAGGCAGTCGAACGTACTGTCAAGTTCGACGCCTTCAGGAATCACGCAGAACACTTGTTCCTTCATGACGCCATACAGGAAAGCTGTCACCACATCAAGCTGGTCGATGGGCCATCCAAAATGCTTGGAAATTGCGATCACCATTCGCAGCGTCACATACTTGACCACAGGCGAAAACGTCTCCGTGTAGTCGATGCCATACTTTTGGCGGAAACCCTTGGCCACAAGTCGTGCCTTGTACTTCTCGATTGACCCATCCGCCTTGCGCTTGATCTTGAACACCCATTTTGTGCCAATGGCGCGTTGTCCGTTGGGCAGCTTGGCTGCACGAAACACACCGCGAAGTCGCATTGACTCGAGCTCTGCATGAATTGCTTTTCTCCAGTGCACTTGGTCAGGGCCGCTTACTGCTGCTTCAAATGTTGAGGGTTCTGATAAGTCCACTGCTGCTTCAACGGCATTTGCACTCGCACGCCAAAACACAGGCGGTGTTGAATCACCAGAATCCTTCGTTTCTTCGTCTTCTTCTTGTCGTGACGAGTTGTTTTCCGGCGCGCTTGACTCTTCTAGTCCTGGTCGTTGACGCACTGCACGCGATCGTGGAGCTGCTGTATCTTCATCATTGAGTCGGTTCTTGCGCTTGCCTGTTTGCTTGTACTCCATTTGACGCAGCTCTTCGTCATCAAGATCCAGCAATTCGAAGTCCAGGTCATCGACATCTTCATCAGTGATCGGCAGTTGAAGTCCAAAGGTGGACTCGTCGAAGTTGACATCGCGGCTGATAACCACCTGCCCCGCCTCGATGTCATAAACACGATATGCCTTCGAAACTTCTTCGTAGACCACGAATATGCCAGCGCGAGCCTTTGGATCCCACTTGAGTCGATTCTCTTTAGGCGTCAGTATGTATGTCTGACACCCGAATGTTCGCATGTGCTTGACGCTTGGTTTCAAGTTGTAGACGATCTCAAACGGGGTCTTGTGCACGACTTTAGGTGACGGCAGTCGATTCTTGACGTAGATGGCCGTCATCGCTGCTTCGGCCCAGAAACACTTGTCCAGTTTGGCATGATGAAGCATGCTGCGGCCGATCGTGACAATAGTCCTAATGGCACGCTCTGCTGTTCCGTTTGTTTGATGTGCATACGGCACCGTTGTCTGCTGTTCAATGCCTTCGTCTTCGTAGAACAGTTGAAGCGAGTTGGTTGCAAACTCGCGAGCTCCGTCGTGTCGCACGAACTTGACCTTCTTACAGAATTGCGTCTGTACCATGGTGATATATTTCCGGATGTAGTCTTCACTCTCGGACTTCACTCGTAGGCAAAAGCCCTTCATGCATCCACTGGCTTCGTCGATGATCAGCAGCAAATATTTGCTGCCACCGAGCGAATCCTTTTCCATGGGCCCGCAGATGTCCAGATGAAGTAGCTCAAACGTATCGTAGCTGCGCTTGTCTCGATTGCTTGGAAATGGTTTTTGGACCATTTTCCCTTGTTGACATCCTCGACATGTAGTTGCTCCACCCGACTTGAGAGGGACTCGCACATCCTTGATCATGTTGGTCGCGATCATCTTGCGAAGTACATCGACTGGAGCATGACCCATTCTCGCATGTAGATCGGCACAACTGGTTCCACTTGTTGTCACATTCGCTGATCGTTGAGTCGTCCGAAGCCAGTAGAGTCCATCCACGAGATCCGCTGTCGCCACCACTTGCTGTGAGTTCTTGAGAGTCACATACATCTTGGACCCGTCAAACACGACTTGAAACTTGCCATGGCTGTTAATCTGTGGCACCGAGAGCAGGTTCTTGCTCATACTTGGAACATATAGCGCGTTCTTGATTTCGATCTCACGCTCTTCACCGTTGGGCAGAACCACCTTTTCCATGATGGTTCCCACACCCTTGATGGCCACCTTGTTGCCATCAGCCACCAAGAGTTCGCCCTCATTGCGCTCTGCCAAACTTGCGAACTTGGTCTTGTCGTGGCAAATGTGGTGCGTTGCACCACTGTCGACGGCCCACATTCCAGACACGTCCTTGCTCGTCGAAACTCCACATTCGAACGAGACTGCAAACGCCACTCGATCGTATCCATTGCCTTCATCATGATGTCCCCACTGGACATTGTTAGCCCCGCGTCCACGACCATTGCCGCCGCGTCGGGCTCCCCGACCTTCGTTCTTCTGCTTTGTCCAGCAACGATCCACCGTGTGTCCCACCTTGCCACAATACGTGCATTGGTAGGGCTCACGCTCGGCGCTGAATGCCTTGCTTGCATCTTCAGCCTTCACCGTAGTCGCTGTCGTTGTTGTTGCATTGTAGATCGGAGCGAGGAAAGCGGAGCAAACGGAGCGGAGAGACTGAAGAGAGCGGAGCAGAAAACACTTGCTTAATAGTTGGAAGATTCGAAAGTGATTGATTATCGGGGCTTACTACTTACTACATGATTTATATGTGGTCTACATATAAATCATGTGAAGCGTCTCATCATCCTACGCGTCTAATCAACTATGGTAATTACCGTAAGAAGTACGTCGTAAATACTAAGCTGAACAGGCGGTTCGGATTGGATCGGTCACGGTTACCAATACTGGTAGAAAACCGATGACCGTCAACACGCCCCTCAATCCGAATGCTCACGAATCCCGAGAGCCGTCGTCATCTCCTTGTGGCGTGGTTTATGAAGTCCCTTCGTCATGATATCTGCTAACATCACCGCAGTCTCACAGTACTTGAGCTTGACTTTGCCGCGCTTGACCTCATCACGAATGTGATGGTACTTAATGTCGATGTGCTTGGCACGGCCATGGTTGACAGGGTTCTTCGTCATCTTGATACACGACTGATTGTCTTCATGGATCATGAGTTCCGGTCCTTCTTCATTGGCAGCCATCACGATCTCACAAAGCAGACGATGAATCCACTTGCCCTCTTGAATTGCCAAGCTGAGTGCGATGTATTCGGCTTCGCTCGTGGACAACGAAACACTTGGCTGCTTCTTGCTGCCCCAACTGACTGGCGCACCGAGTAGCATGAACGTGTACCCCGATGTTGACTTGCGGTCGGTAAGATCACCAGCCCAATCCGCATCCGAATATCCACGGAAGTCGATCCTTGCACTTGGCTTGTAGCAAATTCCATGCGTCTTGGTGCCTTGTAGGTAGCGAAAGATACGCTTAACTGCAACCCAGTGTTCTTCTTGGGGATTTTCCATGAACCGCGACACATAGCCCACAGCAAACGCAATGTCCGGACGCGTTGCAGTGGTCAGGTGCATCAACGCACCAACAGCTTCGCGAAAAGGAGCATCGACCTTGGTAGTTGCATCACTTGAAACAAGTCGAGAGCTCATGTCGACTGGACTTGCGACTGCCTTGCAATCATCCATGCCAAAGCGCTTGAGGATATCATCGACATACCGACGCTGACATAGTGTCACACTGCCATCTTCACCGTCCAAAAGCTCGATCCCAAGAACAAACGCACACTTGCCGCTGTCCGTCATTTCGAACCGCGTCTTCAGGTCGTTCTTGGTTTGTGCAATCAGCTCGAGTGAGCTTCCAGTCACCAAGACGTCGTCCACGTAGACCAGTATAAACACGCAATGGCCGTCCGAAGTCTTGATGTAGAGACATGGGTCGAAGTCCGATGCTTGAAATCCGATGGAGCACACATACTCGTCGAACGTCTCGTTCCACACTCGCGACGCTTGCTTGAGGCCGTAAATTGACTTCACCAATTCCAGGCAGTCGAACGTACTGTCAAGTTCGACGCCTTCAGGAATCACGCAGAACACTTGTTCCTTCATGACGCCATACAGGAAAGCTGTCACCACATCAAGCTGGTCGATGGGCCATCCAAAATGCTTGGAAATTGCGATCACCATTCGCAGCGTCACATACTTGACCACAGGCGAAAACGTCTCCGTGTAGTCGATGCCATACTTTTGGCGGAAACCCTTGGCCACAAGTCGTGCCTTGTACTTCTCGATTGACCCATCCGCCTTGCGCTTGATCTTGAACACCCATTTTGTGCCAATGGCGCGTTGTCCGTTGGGCAGCTTGGCTGCACGAAACACACCGCGAAGTCGCATTGACTCGAGCTCTGCATGAATTGCTTTTCTCCAGTGCACTCGGTCAGGGCCGCTTACTGCTGCTTCAAATGTTGAGGGTTCTGATAAGTCCACTGCTGCTTCAACGGCATTTGCACTCGCACGCCAAAACACAGGCGGTGTTGAATCACCAGAATCCTTCGTTTCTTCGTCTTCTTCTTGTCGTGACGAGTTGTTTTCCGGCGCGCTTGACTCTTCTAGTCCTGGTCGTTGACGCACTGCACGCGATCGTGGAGCTGCTGTATCTTCATCATTGAGTCGGTTCTTGCGCTTGCCTGTTTGCTTGTACTCCATTTGACGCAGCTCTTCGTCATCAAGATCCAGCAATTCGAAGTCCAGGTCATCGACATCTTCATCAGTGATCGGCAGTTGAAGTCCAAAGGTGGACTCGTCGAAGTTGACATCGCGGCTGATAACCACCTGCCCCGCCTCGATGTCATAAACACGATATGCCTTCGAAACTTCTTCGTAGACCACGAATATGCCAGCGCGAGCCTTTGGATCCCACTTGAGTCGATTCTCTTTAGGCGTCAGTATGTATGTCTGACACCCGAATGTTCGCATGTGCTTGACGCTTGGTTTCAAGTTGTAGACGATCTCAAACGGGGTCTTGTGCACGACTTTAGGTGACGGCAGTCGATTCTTGACGTAGATGGCCGTCATCGCTGCTTCGGCCCAGAAACACTTGTCCAGTTTGGCATGATGAAGCATGCTGCGGCCGATCGTGACAATAGTCCTAATGGCACGCTCTGCTGTTCCGTTTGTTTGATGTGCATACGGCACCGTTGTCTGCTTTTCAATGCCTTCGTCTTCGTAGAACAGTTGAAGCGAGTTGGTTGCAAACTCGCGAGCTCCGTCGTGTCGCACGAACTTGACCTTCTTACAGAATTGCGTCTGTACCATGGTGATATATTTCCGGATGTAGTCTTCACTCTCGGACTTCACTCGTAGGCAAAAGCCCTTCATGCATCCACTGGCTTCGTCGATGATCAGCAGCAAATATTTGCTGCCACCGAGCGAATCCTTTTCCATGGGCCCGCAGATGTCCAGATGAAGTAGCTCAAACGTATCGTAGCTGCGCTTGTCTCGGTTGCTTGGAAATGGTTTTTGGACCATTTTCCCTTGTTGACATCCTCGACATGTAGTTGCTCCACCCGACTTGAGAGGGACTCGCACATCCTTGATCATGTTGGTCGCGATCATCTTGCGAAGTACATCGACTGGAGCATGACCCATTCTCGCATGTAGATCGGCACAACTGGTTCCACTTGTTGTCACATTCGCTGATCGTTGAGTCGTCCGAAGCCAGTAGAGTCCATCCACGAGATCCGCTGTCGCCACCACTTGCTGTGAGTTCTTGAGAGTCACATACATCTTGGACCCGTCAAACACGACTTGAAACTTGCCATGGCTGTTAATCTGTGGCACCGAGAGCAGGTTCTTGCTCATACTTGGAACATATAGCGCGTTCTTGATTTCGATCTCACGCTCTTCACCGTTGGGCAGAACCACCTTTTCCATGATGGTTCCCACACCCTTGATGGCCACCTTGTTGCCATCAGCCACCAAGAGTTCGCCCTCATTGCGCTCTGCCAAACTTGCGAACTTGGTCTTGTCGTGGCAAATGTGGTGCGTTGCACCACTGTCGACGGCCCACATTCCAGACACGTCCTTGCTCGTCGAAACTCCACATTCGAACGAGACTGCAAACGCCACTCGATCGTATCCATTGCCTTCATCATGATGTCCCCACTGGACATTGTTAGCCCCGCGTCCACGACCATTGCCGCCGCGTCGGGCTCCCCGACCTTCGTTCTTCTGCTTTGTCCAGCAACGATCCACCGTGTGTCCCACCTTGCCACAATACGTGCATTGGTAGGGCTCACGCTCGGCGCTGAATGCCTTGCTTGCATCTTCAGCCTTCACCGTAGTCGCTGTCGTTGTCCCTTTTTCTCCTTGACGCTTGGCATGCTCATTCGTCAGGACTCTCACCACATCTTGAGTGCGAAGCTCGGTGCTGCTCATTTCCATGTTGAGCACCACATTTTCGTAGCTCTTCGGAAGACTGAGTAGCAGACAAATTGCAACGTCTTCGTCTTCCATCTTCGCACCGATGCCGCTAATCTTGGCGGAGATGTTGAGGACCTCGTTGCAGTGATGCATGACGTTCGCGCCTTCAGCCATCTTGATACTGAAAAGTTGTCGCTTGAGGTAGATGCGTCCTGCCTTCTGCGACCCACCGTACAGCGTCTTCAGACTTGTCCACGCAACCCAGGCTTCCTCGCAGTTGTCCAGCACATGATGGTAGTCCGCGTTCATGTGCAGCAGCATCATACCAAACGCGACGTTGCTTGCCTTGACGTAGTCATCGGACGCTCGCGGGTCGGTGAAAGTCGGAGTCACTTCACGGTTGACAACGTGCCAGACGGACTTCGTCAAAAACACACCGCGCATGTACCGGCTCCACGTTACGTAATTGTCTCCGTTGAACTTGTCAATGGAGGCGTTGCTGGTGGACGACATGGCGCTTGGGCTCATAACCTGTTGCATTGTAGATCGGAGCGAGGAAAGCGGAGCAAACGGAGCGGAGAGACCGAAGAGAGTAGAGCAGAAAACACTTGCCCAATAGTTGGAAGATTCGAAAGTGATTGATTATCGGGGCTTACTACTTACTACATGATTTATATGTGGTGTACATATAAATCATGTGAAGCGTCTCATCATCCTACGCGTCTAATCAACTATGGTAATTACCGTAAGAACTACGTCGTAAATACTAAGCTGAACAGGCGGTTCGGATTGGATCGGTCACGGTTACCAATACTGGTAGAAAACCGATGACCGTCAACATGGTGTACATATAAATCATGTAGTAAGTAGTAAGCCCCGATAATCAATCACTTTCCAATCTTCCATCTACCCCCCCAAGTGTCTTCTCCGGTCTTCCGAGTAGACTCCCAGCATCACTCCCAGTTTCGGTCGTCAAGCTTTTCACCATTCAACAGGTTATGAGCCCAAGCACGATGTCCTCTGCTCATGATGCCACCACCAAGATCTCCATCGACAAGTTCGACGGCGACAACTACGCGACGTGGAGCCGCTACATGCGTGGCGTGTTCCTGACCAAGTCGGCGTGGCACGTGGTGAACCGGGAGACCACCCCCACC